ACTTGTCAACTTACGTCTCAGGGTGACGAGCGCAGTGGCAGTGCCCCTCAGATCTTTGAAATTCAAAGCTCTGAGTGGCACTGTAACTGTTATGGACAGGCGAGTAGCTTACCATCAGGCGCACGACTTGTTCGTCCCATCACTAGATGTTATAAAAAAAATTATGTAATTAGAATTATACCTTGAAACCAAAACAAATTCTATATGACGCACTACACGTATCTGTGTGTTATGATTTATCATTATCGCAATAGCTATAGAATTGTTTCAAATTGAAGTTAACGTTAACGTTTGAGGCTGCAGCACGCGAGATGTGATTTCGGTCAATAACAAGCGGAATTTGCCCCAATCTCTCGTCGGTGTGACGCCGCCCTTACGGTGAAAGTCGATGTGATAGAGGTGCGTACGGGACAAACGAAACACGAGGCTCAGCCGGCCGCGCCGCGTTGTCCCGCAACCGTCACCGTGCTGGCACAGCGTCGCTCACACGTGACTCTGTTTCTTGATCGTGTGCAGTTATCGCCACATCAACACCAACATCTGCATAGAAATGGAATCTAAACATTCAATTCTAATATTATTACCCTAAAGTAGCGTATTTCACATTTTTACCTACTTTTGTAATTGCGGACGAAAAACATTGTCGAATATGGTTTTCATTTCTTAACAAAACTTAAACTTTACTATAGAATTAATTATATTGTCATTTTAATCATTAATTTTCACATACTTTTTTCTTGTTTTATCGACTTGAGGATTGTTATCCATTTAAGTTTTTCTTCCATAAAATACAGCAATACCACCAAACTTGCTACATGAAAATACATCAAATAAATTAAATAAGCCGAACTCTGTCCTCATCTCAAGTAGGACGATCGAAACTTATATTATTTAGAAAAGAAAGAAAATGATATGGTTATCACCGAGTAGTGTTCCGTACGTACGATATTTATGAGAACAAAAAAAAGATGTCAGCTGAACATCAGTTTTTCACACTTAAAATGAAAGCGATAATAAGCTAAATTTTACTAATTTTCGTTATCTTCACTGAAAGTTGTGAAACGCTCTAATGACTTAACAAGAGACACTGGCACGAAAAGATCAAATAAGCGATATTAGGTTTTAAAAAGTCTTTGCATTAAGTGAAATCAAAACTTGGAAAGTTTTTCGTGTGTTTGAGAACGGAATCCTAACTGGCACGGACTCAAATCGAATATAACAATTTGGAGAAATACGTAACGGAATTTAAAACGGAGTGACGTAACGCAGTAACCCACGGGTGCGGGCGCGTCGAGTGCCGCGAAATTGTTCTCTTCACAATGTTTTTATGCAAAGGTAATAAAGTGATATGAAGAAAAAACCAGTTTAATTTGTGCATGCTTGGAATATTTGAGAGGAGCGCGAGTTCGATGGCCGCCGCGACTCGCGCGCTCGCCTCTGCGCTACGAGTCTACAGATTCTACCTGCTGCTACACATACCCGCACTCTACGCACCACAATACACAGTCAACAGGTGACACTTTTAATACACCTTCCGACGTACTAACATATTCGGCACAGCATATTTGGTACGTTATTTGAAGACCAAAGCACGAAAGTCACTCAAATATTGTACTCCGTATACTCGTAACATTTAACCATATGCATTCATGACGATTAGCAAAAGTCACCATGTGATGGATGCTTGAAACGTTTCACTTCCACCACAAAAACGACACCTACTACATTTGTAACACTTTTCCTATATTGTTCTAAAATTTACTGCAAAACCTTTACACGTGAAACCCATTCGCTTACATTATTCCTTCCATAATTTCATGATTATATCAAATTTTATCATAAGTAATGTAATAAAGAAATAAATTATTTACTAGTTTTATTCAATGTGTACAACACAAAAACACATTTTATAGACACGGATGAGTTGTACTACTGGCAAGAATCGAAGGTACACCTTTAAAGTGCGACCTTTAAAGTATTTTCTAATTACCGACTTTGTAGAGGACAAATTATATATTAAAACTGAAATCTAGTATACATAAAAACAAATATAAGTATTTAGATATTTCGAGCACATCTGTTAAAATATTAACTAAATTTTTCATTTGCTATTTTTATATGTATTTATTTTAATACTGTGACGTGTGTGTGTGTGTGTGTGTGTGTGTGTGTGTGTGTGTGTGTGTGTG